CTCTAGGGTGCTACTTTCTCTAGGAGGAAGGTCAAATGGGTTAGGAGGGGCCCGCTCCCGCCTGTGTGGCATTTCCATTTGCTGCATGAGGTTATCCCACAGTTAAAGAAGAAAAAAAAATCAGACCCCAGCTCATGAACCATTAATAATCTGGTTGAACTCTAAGCTAAGGTTCATATTTGTGCTAGCTTGTACTGGCGATTTAAATACACTTCTTACAACATAAAAACTGTACCTACCAAGTGTTAAATGCCGGTCGTCAGCTCTATTCCTCGCAGGAAAATTATTATGTGGATGACTGTTATACATAACTGAAGCAATTGAGTACAGGTCAGAAGATATCTCTGCTGAACCCTCAAATATTCCTGCCATTGACTCTACTATGTTCATAGTTTCTTGAGCGATGGGGTTGTTTATATACTGTAATTAAAAACAGTCATTTACAAAGCCTGTTTGTAACCATTATACTTAATAATGACTTCTCTGTGGTATTAGTTTAAGAAATTAGTACCTTTGGAATCACACTTTTTAAAAAGATATCATTTCCATGACTATGTCTCCTTTACATTCCAAAATTTCATTCTGAAGCCACTAAAATCCTGCCTCCTTATAGCAAAAAGCAGATATTTGTTTCTGAAGTCAGTTACTGTGAAATTAGACATCCTCATGCAAAGGTTTCATCACTAAAATATTTTAACTGCTTCTCCCCACAAAGGTAAGAGTTCTAGACATACTCCTTTATTTAAAATGTGTTTTGCTTCCCTATGTGTCTTCATTTGTATACCAGGTGTGTGAGGCCTGCGTGACTGCTTAATACATGTTAGTAATAGTGGTTTATCTATGATCGAGCAAAGTTACGGAGATGAACGCAACTGCATGACAATAGTTTTAGAACACAGTTCATTGCAGACCTATCCAAGACTCTGGACCTAAGAAATGTTTTAAGTAACTGTGATTGTTCCTAGATCCTATAATGTACTTCACACATGTCAAGTTTGCCAGTGTGGCAGGTCTTGAAGTAAAAAATATCTGGAGCAGATTGTGGATATTTAGAGATTTTTGTTGGGATAACAAATGACTCTTTCCCTTCTCCCTCTCCACACAGCA